GAAAACAAAGTAGGCCAAGAAATTTTGAAAATACAGGAATCATCCATGCATTTAGAGCTTGCTCTTAACTAACCAATAAAAGAAATAGCATAATGCTTAGGTAATCACACTAGGGATGACTTTGTTCTAAATGTTGAGTATGAATATGTTAATTGTTAAAATGGAGAGTTTTTCAAGTCTTAAAGCAAGCAATTTCTCTAGTATAAAAGTTAAGTTTCTTAAATAATTAAAGAGCTTCTTCCAATTAAAATCTCAAATTGAAACCTAGCTACCAACATATTAAGGAGTGCCATCACTAAATTGGAATTTATTTAAAACTTATTAAAAATCTAACAAAATAAATCTAGACTATTGGATATTATACAAATAAGAAAAAAAAAAATACTATTCTAAGATGAAGCAAGACCAAAAAACAAAAAGTAGTTTCTCAATAACCATACATAATATTAATTAGTATAAACAACTCATAAAGTAGCATAAAAGCATCCTATGAATGGGTTCTTTAATTAAGACTCCAAAGTACTAAACCATATAGATTGCTAATAAGTAGATAGATACATAATCAGAAATAAAAAGGAACATAGAAGAGAAGAAACCTTTGAGAGAAGTTTTTTCAACAAATCTTGAACCCACTTTGTTGGATAAATGACCATAGTTAGAAGAAATTTGTTTTGACTTCTCAATCACGTTATTTGTATAACTTTTAATTTTCTTTGTTGCATAAGAAAAATGGAAATGGAATCGATCTATCAGGCCTAAAGGCCTGTTTAGCGTAACTTGTGAGAGCTTTGACTTTTTGAGTACTGTTATGAGTGATAAGTTTAAATTTTTATTGGAGGAAAAATTTAAAAGTTGCATTAGAGATAGGAAAAAGTGAGTAAAAATTGAGTAAAAAATAAGTAAAAAGTGAGTAAAAATGAAATTTATGAAAAGTTTGGATTTGAAACTTTTAAACTTTTAAACTTTTAAACTTTTAAACTTTTAAATTTTTACTGTTTAAAGTCTTTTTAAGGTTAAAAAAAATTTAAAAATGTAAGTTTTTAAGAGGGAAATTTGAACTTATGAAACATGAATAGTATCAAAAAGCTAAAACTGCTAGAAGCTGCAACGAACAGGCTCTAAGTATTCCATAATATTTTACCACCCTGCCCCTAGAAATAAAAAGGAAAAAAAGGAGGGGGTCATGTGCTGCCTTTTGGACTCAAGGAGTAAGAGCTTTTCACTACAATGAATTTTAGAACAAATTAAATGCATTCAAATGGTAAAAGTGAAGCCTTAAAAGTTATTGCATGAAGTTAGTGATATCTAACCAATTCTTAAAGAAAAAGTCAAACATGCTTAGAATGAAAGTTTCATGCAGCAGAATTTCTTATACACAATTGAAGGCATCAGCCAATATATTTTAAAATTCAATAGGACACACACACACATACATGTATACATGCACATAATGAGAATCTATATACACTTACAATATTAACAAAAATAATAATGAGAATCAAAATAAGAATTCACTTGCACAAAATAAGGTACTCTTATTTGGATACACATGGGACCAAAGAGTAAATGGTGGCGGTAAGAGGCATCAACTTGCCCTACTCCACATTTGAAAACATCAAGAACCATCATCCAGGAATAGGTGAAGATTAGGCACCAACATAAACTTGTGTGTCCTTGGCAATTCCTCATTCTTTCTTTTATCAAACTATATCATAAATATAAGGAAC